TAGTGACTTGTGCTATGGGCTTGAAGTTGGCCTCCAGTTTGTCCGCCACATCCCCATTGAGTTCCTGATGAATGATGATCGTCAACTAGTAACTGGTTCATTTGTGCCGCTCAGCGCTCATGGAATACAGTCAGCTTCTTCAGCCAGTAGGCGCAAATCATGTGGGTGCCTGGTGCTATCCAACTCTTCATACTGGAGAAGCGTTCTTAGATATCTGCCACTGTGATGGTTACTGGACCCTGTTCAGGGAGGTTGCTGTGATCTGCCCTCAGATCCACTAGCCACTGAGCATCGCCGTTATGGGTGGCATCCTTCTCCCATATGCTCTTCCAGTATTGCTCCGTCTCCAGCCTTGGTGGTGCTGTTCTCATATTGTTACCCTGCCACTGAGAGTATACTTTGGATGGCTCATTGGAAAACAGATGGTTTATTCTACTGCCTTCGACCTCTCTGGTGTACCTCTTCAAGCGGCTGGCCAAGGCTGTGAGTCGGTGCTTGGCAGTTTCCAAGGCCTCAGGTATGGACAGCTTCCTGTACTTCTTAGGCACCTTCTTTGTCGCACCTTTCTGCAGCGCCGATATTTGGATAACCTCCACCGTGCTACTTTGATCCTAGCCTCTAGTCTCCTTCTCCATGGAGGGTACTGCTTCTTGTGGCTGTTTAACTTGTAGTCAAGCATCTCAGTGATTCAGTGATATATGCTGCCTTTGATGGTGCAAACGTTTCATCGACATTGTTGTGTTTGTTGGGGAGAAAATTTACAAACATGGGCACGTGTTGAAGTGCACTCACTGAGCTTGCTGTGTCTTTTCATTTCCTCTAAGACACTCATTTAAGAGTGAAATATGGTATATACACCACCCCTATCTGATGATTCAGTTCACAATTTCCAGCTGAGAGCTTGCACTTGGCTGCCTGAGAAAGAGCACCAAATCTCACTCTCTCACCTCAGCTATGACAGCCTCTGCGGAAAATTGCCTGCTCTAAAAATAGCACAGTCTAAAGATGCCTGGAAGCTAAACGAGCCACAATAAACTAAATGCCACTGCAGGAAGCAACCTTTGAGTCGCAAAAATGAGACCCACGCTTCTCTCTTCTCTTTTGCTTGAATCTTTAAAGCAGTGACATCACTTTAAGTCTCCAACACAGAGAATAATTTACCTCAAAGATAAATGAGTGGAACAGGCTAATATTTTGTCCTGACCTCTAAATCTACAAAAGCAGATTACCTTTAGTACAGTATACAAGGGGAATCCTAATTTTATTAGAAACCTGACCGGAGAAAACTAGCAAATATCTCCTCCAATATAAATGCTCATAGGTCTCTGCAGTCAAGGAGGATAAAAGAGAACCATATTAGCTGTACAGTAGAAATGCATCTGTAGGAATGACTGGCTTAGGCTCTGTGTCATAGTCTACTTTCTTAAAGCTCTCCTGGACAGTAACAAGAAGTCTCAGCAGTAATGTTCTAAGCATATGGAACAGTTTTGTTTTCACACTTCATAACAACCAGTCCTCTGGTATCAGACTGACTTTTGATATAATATTAGTCCAATCCAACTTTATTTAAATAGCACTTTAAAAACAACAAAGTTGACCAAAGTGCTTTCCAATAATAAAACAGAGATAGCAGTTAAAAACACTAAGCAGACAAAGAAGCAAATATAAATAACAATAAAATAAATACATGAATGAAAAAGAAGATTGAAATAAATCAGTATATATATTAAATAATAAAACATGAGTAAAGTAGACAATACAATCATACAATGAATATGATTAACAAAATAAAAGGATTAAGAGTGACCAACAGCTGACTAAAACTGACTACAGGTTGCCTCTGGTACTACTCCTAAAAGCCTTTGAAAAAAGGTGTGTTTTTAAAGTGATTTAAACATTTCAAGAGTTGGTGCATTTAGGTGCAATTCAACCCCACTTTATCTTTAGGTGAAGTCTTTTTTCCCCCAAGCACACCAAACGGGTTTACAAGATAATAGGTCAAAGGTTACCATAGTTGTCATAAGTTTCTTATCCCGACACACTGGGTATCATAATATCCATCCGCATCTTCAAAGGGAAGAAGAAAAGACACATTAGTCTCTTTACATTTAGGCTTTATTTTTCCTGCTTTTAGCATAAAGCAATCCATTCGCTGCGATAATGTCAAGGTGTCTATCAAAACACCTGTTGTCCTAATCTTCTGCCTTTTTTCTTTTCTATTGTTCTTCTCAATAATAAGCTAGCCAATAATGCTGTTTTCCTGGGAGCACTATCCCCCAACCAACCTACTGGTGTATTCAGTTACACAATGAGTGTTTTTTAAATTTGATTCAATTCAATTCTGTTTTATTTATATAACACCAAATAACAACAGTTATATTAATTTTGTAAGGTAAACACTCTACAATAATACACAGAAAACAGAGAAACCTGTAACAATCAGATGACCCTCTATAAGCGAGCACTTTGGCGTCTTTTTGGATATGTTTCAAACCACTGCAGCGTAGTACCTTTAATATCTAAAGCATATGCTAATCACCGTATTAAAATATTATGGCCAACAGTATTAGGATAAGCACAGAGATGAGTCTCTGTTAGAGGCCATAAAAAGATCATTTGTAACCTTCACTAAAGCTGTTTCTGTGCTGTGATGGGCTCTGAAACAGTCCAAAGGAAGGAAGCTGTGGTCTACCATCACTGCACAAATCAAAATATTATTACACTGGTGTGATCCCACCTCTAAAACACAGTGGAATGATACCAGATGTTCATATACAGGCTATATTACGAACATATGGAAATGGTAATTAAAGAACAAGGAGGATAATATTAAAACTCTGAGCTGGCATGTGTAAGATTCAGATTTTATACCAAACAGACATGATGACAGGTTTGAACTCTAAGGAAGAGCTATCAAACCATTAGAGTAACTCCTGGGCTAGAAAAGCAGGATTCTGTAGATGTCTCCAACTAACAACTTACTATAATCAAAAAATCTGAGAACTATTATAGATTCAGCAAACCTCTTATTCAGTTGTTCATAAATTCTTATGGAGCAAATTGTAAAAGGGGAATAATTTCCCAAATTAACAAGTCTCCAGAATATGAAAACACACTCAAAACAAAGAAAAGGAGAAAGAGAAAGATAGGATAGGAAAATTGGGAGAGGTAGGGAGGACTTACAAAAGCAGACGATGAACAATGGAAGGACATCTGAGTAGTTCAGTGGGAAAGCACAAAAACATATACATGGAAAGAATTTAGCTTGAACAATGTAGCCAAATTATTTTATTACTCCCCAGATGAAGGTGCACAATAAAAAAGGTCCAAACTGCAAACCAAAACAAATACAAAACTATTGGATTCAAATACACAAGCAACTAGAAAAGCTATAAATACTTAGCAGACTTTAAGACCGACATTATTCTTTACCAGAAAGAAAAGATATTAGTAAATACATACTGTTTATTCTAATAGGAGCAGCAGCTTTTTTAAAAATTGGTTGGTTTTGGTTTTTGGATTTTTGGATTCACTTGTTGGAGTGACACGTGTTTGAAGTCAGGAAAAGTCAGGAAAGGATAAAATCCCGACTGCTACTGCTAAAAATTAGGAGTTTGGAATTACAGCCCTGTTGCACTAATCTCGTGTCACGTCATGCAAATATACCATCTGTTCTATCAGATCTGCAAGACTGATGGAGAATCATTTATAGAGCAGCATCTCTTTTTGTTTAGATGAGAAACATGTAATTCTGTATATCCACTGTGTTTGGTGAGTCTTTAATGCAAAAGAAATTTGCTCTAACAAACCCAGCCTTAAACACAGAAGAGAAAATCATTTAGTCAGAACCACTATAGACAAAAGAAAATAGTTTTTTCCCCAACTATAGAAATGTGTCTTTGGGGACGTAGCTCTGTTCTGGAGAGAGCAGTAGCAAAAGCCTAGCACAGTACACACCAGGCAATGAATGTGGGGGGTGGGTGGGTTGCAAAGCAGTTTGCAGATGTGCAACATTTGTATGCAAGCTAACACAGCTTAAATAGCATGCTGTGTATGGAATTTGGCAATTGAATGTATAGACGGGTATCAGCTGAACCATCAGCTTCTGCAGACTTGCACTGAGCTGTTCTGCACTGTGCACTAAACTGACTTTGTGACCTGCCTGAACTCACCTGACCTTTACAACCACTGTGGCTCATCACCCTGGATAGCTGAGCTGTGGTTAGCTTAAAGGCGTGGAGGAAAATCATTACTGTAGGAGAAGGTTTAGTTTAACATCTGGATTAATAGTTAGTGAAATCATTTTCCTGACTATGAAAGTCTGAGTTGTGCATCCTTTCCCCTGATTACCTGTGTGGAAAAAAATCATGTAGCCGTCCACTTTTTCCGGTGCTCCATAACTAAACATTAAAAAATCCACTTTGCTTGTGGAGAAACTAATTATCTAAATCTAATCTCAACCATCCACTACTTAATCGTTTTAGTGCTTCAGTGGTTCCTAAACAGTGCAGGACTCTATGATACACATTTAGAACCTAATGAGAAGTATTGGAGTGCTGCTTTGATTGGAGTTAATGAGGTCATTTTAAGAGAACAACCTAAACATCCTACACTAGGAAAAGCTTTGCAGGCTCATGAATCAGTCATTTACTAATCATGGTAAATTAATTGCTACTGAAATAACCCTTTTACTCAATTGGAGCTCTCCAATTGCTTCGACACATGGTGAGCCAGGGATCAAGCCTTCTGATTAGTAGACGTCCCACAATGTCAACCACCTAATGAATATGACCCAAAATAAACATGCTTAAATGATCACATATAATGGCTAACTTCACAGGCATTTACTTACATTCAGGTCAAATGCCATTGGTGATGTCTTCTCAGATTTCTACATGTGAATTTAGGAATGCCAAACCAGGTTTATTTTTGAGGCATTCGCCAATTTTTTATGTCTTTTGTCCTGATTTTGTTTTTTTGCTCTTCCTGCCTCTTTATAGAATCACATCGCCTTCGCTGAGGTCACATGATGTGGAATCGGCTGTGCGGCAGACCCACTGGACGTCCACTCTCTTCACCGTCCAATCCAATTATTAAGAGTGCAGCGCTAAACCCATTCTTAGTGTGTGTCTGGTCTGTGGTATGTTGTTCTTTGTTGTCTTTATCAGGCCCCTGTTTTCACTCGCAATTTCTTGTACTCAAAGAAAAAAGGTTCCTTCTGCTTCCATCTATGCACTTATTCTGAATCGTTGTTGGACTCTCGCCTCCCAAATGAAGCCAAGCAGACTGAGAGACTAGATGATCATGTGAAGGACTGGACTGGATACAACATCAGTGCTGCTCAAGTCAAGTACATTATTATTTTATATGTGAAAAAGTATTTTTCCAATAAGATGGTTATAAGGAAAAACTCTCTCTTTCTATATTTTATTACTTCCTTGTGTTGCATCACATTTCTAAAGCAATGCTGTGAGTATTAGAATGTAACTACTGAGCCTGTATTTATCAAATTAATCACAGTGAAATTTTCAACTTAAATCAGTGATAGAAAATAAACAGACTAAAGAGGAAAGGTATACTTTACCAATTCTGATTGCATAAACAGAGTTTCTGAGTATTTAAATGGTAAATGGCCTGTATTTATATAGCGCTTTACTAGTCCCTAAGGACCCCAAAGCGCTTTACACATTCAGTCATCCACCCATTCACACACTGGTGATGGCAGCTACATTGTAGCCACAGCCACCCTGGGGCGCACTGACAGAGGCGAGGCTGCCGGACACTGGCGCCACCGGGCCCTCTGACCACCACCAGTAGGCAACGGGTGAAGTGTCTTGCCCAAGGACACAACGACCGAGACTGTCCAAGCCGGGGCTCGAACCAGCAACCTTCGGATTACAAGGCGAACTCCCAACTCTTGAGCCACGATCACCCGTAAGACAGAAAGCAGCAGTGGTAGACTAGAACGATTGACAGATGCAGCATAAAACTGCTAACGTAGCCCCCACAGTGTCTAAAAAGCAGGGTAATGGTGTTTGGGGGATGTTCTCTCATGCTAGTTTCCAACATTTGGGAAGTCCAGTGTTTTGTTGGACCACACATGAAAATTCTCAGAACTTTGATAAATACAGGCTGAAGTCAAAGGAGCAAATAAGGAAAACTGAAGTGTTTTTCATCATGTCTGACTTCTCCAGCCATCTCACTAAGGGTTTAGAGTACAACAGTCTATGTGTTTATACAGTATACAGTCAGCTGCAACCAATGACAACAATATACACTCTGACTATACTTTGACAAAAGTATTTAGGCTTTCTTAGCTGCACCAGACAATCACCCCTCCCTCTGTTTTTGTTTTGTGTCTGTTTGCCTTCGACTTCGAGACTGCTGCTTTGACTTTCTCCTATAAAAGTTTGTGATATAGTTTTCAAACCTGCCCTCAACACTTGAAAAGTGCCCAGGAGCTGATATACAAAGCAGAAGAGTTCCAAAAAGACTTAGTCCATAACTGACTAAGATGATGAGCAAACTAAATTTTAAGTTATTATTGTTGGGATTGCCCATACTTTAAAAGTTCCCAAGTTTTTCTTTGTTTCTTGTAATAGTAACCAAATTTAGTAAGGTGACTCCATTTATTTCATAGCAAAATCAGCCACCAAAGCAAAAGCAACATGTAATTACAAGATTGGATAAGTAGAAGAAAATGGATGGTAATGATTGATGATTAAGCAGTTAATATTTGGCATTTAGGTTTAATGAATGGCGTGCATCTGCATTAACTGCTTACATCAGAAAAAGACTGTCACATGAAATTTTTGATAAAGACATACTTGAAATGATAAAATATCTAAAGATATCTGTTTTCCTTAACACTACTTTCATCTGTGTTGTCATTGCGGTGTCATTTGTATTGGGACTCGTTCTTCTTTGTAGCAAAACCATTTTGGGCTTTCTTTGGCATTAAAACACACAGAAAATCTTTTGGCCCTTCAAATCTCTATTTTTGTAGTGACAACTAAAGCACTTATTGATGAAGACTGTGAATAAGAACGTTCGCAAAACAGCACTTTAAATCAAGCTATGACTTCCCTCATTGCTAATGAAATGGCCACAAATTTCATAACTGCTTGAAAACAAATCACACAGAATATTTGAGATTTTGAGGAACAAAACCTGCTCAAATGTGTATCAGAAGAGCTGCAACACTGTCCCAGTATGCCAAAAGGTTGATTCTTTTCATCTGGACGTTTTCAGTGGGAGAAACGTTTCATCACTCATCCAAGGGACTTCTTCAGTCTCAGCTGACTGCAGGGGTGGGCCAATTTTTTGGTGCAGCGTGTTTTGGGGTTTCAAAGACAAAAAAACTCAAATGTTGTGATACTCCTGACACATAAAGGGTTTTTGCATAGGCAGCGGTTGTCCTTCTCTTTTTTTATTTGTTTGTATTTTATTTGTATTTTTTGTATTTTCCTTCTGATATCTGTACCTGAGCTGAGTTAACGCAAACATTTCCCCATCGTGGGATCAATAAAGTCTTATCTTATCTTATCTTATCTTATCTTATCTTATCTATCATCTTCTCTCCTGGATCATCTGGAGCTTTCTTTAGGCGCCTTTCCAGCTTTGACAAAAGTCCAGCTGGGATAACCACATTTACTCTTCTTGATGTTCTTCTGCCTCCCTGGCTGCTGTGTCAGTGGGGATGGTGTTCGCTCTGTGTTGTAGCGTCCTGATGACACCCAGTTTGTACTCCAGTGGATGATGAGAGTCAAACCTTAGATACTGATCCGTATGTGTAGGTTTACGGTACACATCAGCGTTTAGATGTCCCCCATTACTGATATTCCCCAACTCTCATGGCTATTGGTCAGTGGTCTCTGATCAGTGGTTGTTGATCAATGCTCATGAAAATTTGCATATTAATGATCAAGGTACTGACCTCCCAGCCTATTGTTCATTGGTGGGCTGGTTTCAATCATTGTGCAAATGTACTGTTTATAAGATTGGGGAAACCTGCAGTCAGCTGAGACTGAAGACGTCACCTGGATGATGACGAAACGTTTCTCCCACTGAAAACATCCAGATGAACAAAATCAACCTTTTGTGATTTACTTACCTGGATGATTGAGCATGCATCAAGACTATCCCAGCATATTCAAAACAAAAGAGAAATGTAAAAACGTATATGTTAAAACTACAAAAAATGCTTATATGTATATCCTTTCAGTCATATTGTACATTACTGCTTATCTATTTTCTTATGACTGTGCATTGTGTGTGGGTGCGTTCACAATAGATGTTTATTTTATCTCTCAGATAACTGTTATTGCTTCGTTATCTTATTTAAGTAAAACAGAGTATGTTTCATGTTAATGTTCACAATTACACTTACATTTTTATACTCTCTGTTCTATTTATATTTCAGTTCTACTGTGTATCCCATTCCTTAAATGACCTTTTTCTGACAAGGGTTGCAACCTTTTCTAAACTTGTGATTTTTACCTTTTTCCTCCATGCTGTAGTGATTCTTTACTTCTGGTGGACTACTTTGTATGGATGTCATTGCACCTCTTCTGACCAAGTTATTTTTTTATATTATTCATGTTCTGCTTTTCAAAATTCTATTCAATTCTTTTCAAATTTTAAGTTAAAACTGTGACCTTTTACACTATAGAAGAAGTTGTTTACAGCCTTTGAATAAAAAACACTAAAAGGACTCAAATCCCATCTCTTTTTTCTGTTAGGTCTTAATCGTTCTTAATAAAGTATTAATAATCATACTTGATTAATCATACTTGATTAAGACTTTCCTTCAAAACTTTAATTTTTAAAGACACTTAACTGATAATTATTTTTTCATCCAGTCCTTGAATCTGCAAGAAAAAGTGTTTTCAAGCGAATATTAATTATATTCAGAGTTTAACCTCTAGGAAGGCAGGGGGGTGCAGGAAATATGGATGTTCTCTGTCCACTTTCTTCATTTGTCCTTCCTGTGTACATTTTGACTATGTGCGTGCATCAAGGACTTGCTAATGACTAAAGGCATAGGCTACAGCATAGCTTCGGCCTGGGAGGAGTGAGGCAGACTGGGACCTGGCATCACGGCATCCAAGCTGAAGGTGTGACCTCTGTCATGCTGGGCAGTTGGATTTCCATTGCAAAAGGTACCAGCAGTGAGACTGCTGAGTGATTGATGGGCAGCCGGGACTGAGACAGGAGATTGCTGTTGCAGTATGAAACTGGACAGTGAGATCATGCTTTCAAAGCAGTCATGCTGGGAATCGAGAACTGGTTTTTGTAGCGAACCGGTTCCTGGTAGTTGAAATCCTTGGAATCGATAGTCTGCTTCGATCTCACTTACCGGTTCTTGCGCTTGCGCTACAATTTACTGATTTCCGTTATCAGAGGATATCGTTATCAAACATAGTAGGGAAGAGTGGATATTACGTTTATTTTTATTGCACAAAAGCATAATGGTAAAGTGCAAACTGCATCCAGGACAGAAACAACTGTATTAAGCTGCTAAGACAACTTCAGCTCTGTGAAAGTACAGTCAGCACGCTAAAGCTAAGCTAGCCAAAACCCAGAGTGACGCTAAAGCTGAGTGAATGTTGATCCCAGCCTAAGAGTAGGAGTATCATATGTGCGTCCTTGTCATATGTATGGACTCAAATTGTGGTCATAAATATTTTGTACTTGTAAACCAGGATTTGTATGTGTAAAAAGAATTTGTGTGTGTGTAAAAAAGATTTGTATGTGGACTTATGTGTGAAACTCTGCACTCACTGTTGTGGAAATGACAGTCTTCACTAGTGGGGATCCGTGTTGCCAACTCCTCAGTAAGGAAAATCTCTATTGGTTGTCCTAAAAGTTGCTAGAAGCCACTAAATGACGTCATCGCCTAATTTGCATAATTGATCATGCTAATCTAATTGTAGCCTACGTTGTTGGAGAGAGAAATAACATCGTGGAAGAGACATAAAGTGAGTCAAAAACGTCCTAAATGCATTTAGAGTTTATTTAGAACTACAAATTAAATTTCTTTTAGCAATTATTGTTTTCTTTAATGTCACAATTCCAACCCTGCTCCTTTATCCGGGCTTGGACGACCAAAGATGACCCGAAATAGGCACTCTGGTGGAGTTACTTTGTGTGTGTGTTTGTTTATGTAGTTTTAAAACTTGTGAT